ATGTATGTTGTGAAAATATTAGAACAAGGATGTAGACTGTTATGACTCACTGCAATGCAAACAGATATAACACATGCTGCAGGACCCATAATTTTCTACTGAATAGTAAACGCGACAAAACCATTTTGTTTACCTTTAAACTCATCCCACGTCGATCCAAAACCTGGCTGCTGCTGAAGTGCATCATTTCACTAACAGTCAGAAGATTCTTTTTCTGGAGATAGGCTCTTAATGACCTTGCAAAAATGGAAATGAACTAGGCAACAGGAAAAATCCAAGAATGTGTAATACTTTTCAATTTGGCAGGAAGGTTAAAAAATGCAAAAATTTCTTCAAAGGAAAATGACCGCAGAATTCCAAACAGCAGAGGGATTTAGGTGTTCTTGAATATGTTGAGCACGCTGCACGGTTTTAGTCTTCTATTTGAGGATGGATGTAAATGCATTGGAGGCAGTTCAAAGGAAGTTTACAAGATTAATACTGAAACGAACAGGTTATCTTATGAGGATAGATCAAACAGGGTAGGCATTTTTTATTCGGGTTCAGAGGAGTAGGGCTGATGTTATTGAAGTATACAAGATCCAAAATGAACTTGACAAGGTGGACATGGCAAGGTTGTTTCCCATTGTAGCTGAATCTAGAACTAGGGTCATTGTCTTCAAATGAGCAGTCAACCTTTTAGTATGGGATGAGGGGAATTTGTTTTTCTCAGAGGATTAAGAAACTTTGGAACTCTCTGCCTCAGAAGGCAGGTGGCTGTGGAGTCATTGAATATTTTTAAGATGGAAGTAGATAGATTCTTGTTAAGCAAGGGAATCAAAGGTTATCAGGGACAGATGGGAATGTGGAATTCAAAACATAAACAAATCAGTCATGATCTTATTGAATGGCAGAGCAGGATTGAAGGGCTGAATGGGCTACTTCTACTACTAACTTTATGTGGGTAAATAAATTGGAATCAAGGGTTTAACAGTATTGCAAGTGTAGCTTAGTAAGATAGGTGACAACTTCTATTTTAAACACTTCTGATTGCTTTACAGTTTAAACATTTGCTGAGATTACTAATTCCGAGGTCAAATTGGTTCTTTTGGGATTTGTGGGCTGCAATTCAGTTTTGTAGTGTGATTTCAGATACTTGACTATGTCGGTGAAAAGGTTTAGGAGAAATACAATTACATTTTGAAATACTTTCAAATTCATTTTGAGACCTTTTTGATACGGCCCAATCTTTGTTGCTAATTTAATGAGAAGATCAAGACTGAAATATTTGGGAACAGATGTGAGGCGGAGTCTTAACCTGACCACTCTGGTGTTGACCTATCTCCTGCCCAATTAAGGTCCTGCTCTCACAGAAAATTCCACTTTGTGGGAGTCTGGTGATGGAAGGGGGTTCACAACCTGATATTGAACTGGTATTCATATTCCTGCTTCCTGACTGGAAAGTCAAGCCTCGAGGGTCCAGGCAGTTCACAGTGTAAAAGTGTGCGCTATTCCTGCTATGAACTAGCTCCTTTGAACTGCAGGAGTGCATTGCAGATTAGGTCACTGTCTGTTTTCCTTTCTCCAACTCGTTATGCAATAGTGAACTGCTGGATTCAAGATGAGAAGAGTTTGCTCTGGAATCCCATCAGAGTTCACTCAACCTTTCACCATCATCAGGTACATAAAACGAATGCTATTCCTGAAAATGTGGGAATGAACAGGGGCTGAGCATTTTGGAGCCTTTGCAGTTTCTGATGGCTCTTCGAAAGTGGAAAATGGTGATTAGCAGTACAGCTAATATGTACTTCATATGAAGGAATAATGACAAAGGGCTCTGTGGATAGTCTTTAACTGGACACTCTCAGGTCTGTGACTCATTATGGAGTTTAAATTCATCTGCATGGTGATTTTAACACAAACAAAAGGTTGAGCTAGGAAACCTCTTGACCTGTCTTTCGAAGTACTGAGCTCTATAATGTCAAATCATTCAAAACTATTTTTCAAGCAGGTAATAGTTAATGTTGAGGAGATAGAAAATAAACTCGGGAGATTGTTTTAAATAGGGTGTATCACATCAGCTGCCTGCTATATACCCCACTGGTTATTTAGTTCTACTGAAATCAACAGAACTGAATCTTGTTCCCAGTGAATAACAGACAGATAATAAAATACTTCCTGTTTAATGCCACTTGTTGGGGGAGGAATTTGCCCTTGGTGCCCAGGCCGAATCAAGCTTATCTTGGTACAGTAAGTTTGAACAACATTTATTGCTTGTTAATTAAGCCATACAGCAGAATACCTGACACATTATGTGGGAACATATAGCAGAACACAAACTTTAACTTCCATGCACCTGGTAATTCTACAACTGGGCAGATTGAGTGAGATGTTTCCCACAGGGTGGTTCTGGAAACAACGCACAGAATTATCAAATAATGGCTGAACTATTGCCCATCCATTGTGGTACCAAGGGTTATCTTTAGGTGCTGATGATAGGCTTATAAATATTTGCAAATTGGAATTGAATGGTGAGTTTCCCATATTCTTTTGCCGACTTGGCAAACACCAGTTCCTGTTTCTACGCACCTGCTAGTGACAGTGCAAGCTAGAAGGTGGCTATTTCCAGTGTACATTGAAAGAATCTTAAGCAGCATTCAGGGAAAGCTGGACGGAGATTGCAAGAGATGTTTCTCTAGCTCCACACCGTGTTATCTCTGACTCCAGCATCAGCATTTCTTACTATCTCTCAGTGGAAATAGTTTATCTTTTTGTTCCCCTTAACGTCTGGAAACCTTCAATAAACCCATCCCGTAACCTCACTAACATTTGTATAATCTCCTCTTGTAATTTAAACGTCAAAGTCCAGGTACTATTCTGGTATAATATATTCCACTGTATTTTTCCAAGGGTAATTCATCCTTAAGGTGTGGTGCTCAAAACTGCTCACAACAGGTCTACTTTAACCTGGGCTTTAAATTGCTGGAACATTACTCCTACCCTATTCCAGTTCTCCAGTTAAAAAAGCACATTTTAATTAGCCTTTTTGATGGTTTTTTCTACCTTTCATGACATTTTAGTGATATATGTTCCTGAAACACTAAGTCTCTTTGGAGCTATACTGTTTCAAGCTCTGTGTCAGGTCTGAAATGGCTGACCTTACATGGAGTAAACTTCACCCAACAAAATAACATTCAACGCCAAATTTTTCATTCTCCCTTTAATAAAAACAGAAAATGCTGGAAATATTCAGCAGAGCAGAACTCCAATTCTGATGAAAGGTCATTGACCTGAAACATTAACTTTATTTCTCACAACAGATGCTGCCTGACCTGTTGAATATTTCCAGCATTTCCTGTTTTTATTTCAGTTTTTCAGCATTTGCAGTATTTTGCTTTGGCTTTAATTTTTTTCTCCAGCTTTATTGCTGCACCTCTGTATTGTGATGCAAGAAAAAATGGAACTACATTAAACACACTTTCCTTTTTGATTTTAGTTTTCATTTGGCTGTCAGTCATGCCTCAGTTCAATAACTAATGCTGCCGTTATCTCACCTATTTATCTTATCTTTACTTATTGCCAAGAGCACCTCAGTCCGAAGGTAAAGGAAGCAGTATCCAATTAAGCATCAATACCCACTTTATAAAATGTTTTTTGCAGTTGTCTCCTGGGGTTAAAAAGTATACACCGAACTCCAGATCACCTATTTCACCGACTGTCAGCGGTTTTCACAGATAAGATTTAATTTCCTAGCAACTATTTATGAAACACCTTCAGGTAAGATAAAATCCCCGGCAGCTAGAAAGCAAAATTTCATTTTGGAGATTTCAAATAGTTGGCAACAAAAGTTAGTCTTTTGTTCAAATGCTGTTATATCTACTTTGCCAAGAAAACAAAGCGGATTTACTGATTACCCCATCCTCCCCACCCTGGCTACATTCCAGGAAGTTTTCCTGCAACAAGTCTGCCTTAATTTCAAAAGCAACCTCAATATCAATGGGGGACAAATTTCCTACACAGTAGGTCGGCAAATATGACATGAGTAGCAGATCAGCTGTCAGTTGCACACCTTATCTGTTTTTCTGGAACCATCGTGGAAAGGGGTATTGAGGGAGATGTATGACAAGTGGCTGATTTATTGCCTATTCTGCTCCTCTGATGCTGCTTGGCCTGCTGTGTTCATCCAGCTCTGCACCTTGTTGTCTCGGATTCTCCAGCATCTGCAGTTCCTACTATCTCTGATTTATTGCTGCTCAGTTTCCATTCAAATCAAGAGTGGAAATGACCCTAATTAGATGGCACAGTCTAAGCAGAGTTAGAATGTATATTACTTGTGTTATAAGTCGAGGTATATTGTGGGTATAGGAACTGTCATTGCTGAGCACATTGAGTGCAACTGAGAATGATTACACTGACAAAGATTTTTTTCATTTTAACATCTGCTTTTACATTTGGCACCACCTGTGGAGAATGACATGTATTGAATCTCACCTGTCACTTATTGCAGGATGGTCACTAATACTTTTCTCCATTCACTAATGAATGGAGAAAGTGAAATTTTAAAAACTGTTTTCCCTGCCATATAATTACATTGACCTTTTAGTTAGCATTGACAAATGGAGGAAAACGTATCCCGAAACATTCTTAAATGTATTTGCGAAACTTGTGAGATGTCCACTGGGTTTTTCAGAACAGTTTAGGAAAAATGAACAATATTAAGAAAAAAAATGAGACGTCACGAGACGGGACATAATGTACATACAATGACAATGATGGTTGTTAATTCTTTGGGAAGTATCATCTGCGTTCTGCAGATATGAATTAAAAAAAAACTTATTTGCGATTAAAAACAGTTATTAAAGGAATCTACTAAGACAGCACACAATGTAACTGGGTGACTCTGACAGTTAGTGGTTTGTTTCTGCTCCAGCACTGTGCATTTATTCTCCAGTATTACTCAGAGTAAACCAGAGACGTTGGCACTCTTACGACATAAGCTGTATTAAATGTTATCTACTTACTGGGAGACCAAGGGGTCCTCTGTCACCTTTTTGACCTGGTTCACCCTTCCCTCCTTTAACACCATTCAACCCCGGTTCACCCTAAATGTAAAAGTAAAGTCCACCTTTTTTTTGCTACTTTGAAGCTGGGACAGAAATGCATTTAAATTAATCACAAAAAGCTACTGCAAATATCTGTGCATCCATCAAAATATTATTTCCTCCCCAGGGATCATTACATTTTCCGGTCAATATACATTAGCATTCCTGATATTTATTTGATGTTTGTGGCAACTGGTATTTTCTTCTTCCTTGCTTGAACTAGAAATAGAAGGAAGAGACCTATTTTAAACTGGTACATATAAATTTGCAGGTGTTGTTATTGTCACAGTGGTCAGATCTGAGCTTGTGCAGTATTTCATCTGGTTAGTGTTGTTATTATTCATTTTACTGATGCAATTCTTTGAGACATCCACACTTATGATTTTGTTAAGTGGATTCTCTTTTTATTTGCTCCACGGTAGAGGATTGTCATTTTCTCAATTGGAATGCAAGCTGTTGGCTATATTACGAAATTAAAATTTGATGGTGTACATATGGCATTTTCAGTTTTTTTTGTCATTAACAGCTTTAAAATAAATACATGATGTCTGTATTAAAATTGTGGATAGGTGACCACCGCATGAAGATATTAAAGAGTCTGTTTATTGTTAAAAATAATGAGTGTGCAAAAGAAAAGCTTCATTTATTGTGTATTATTTTGCCCTTGGGATATTGGTGACATTATAAACTGAACACTGTGTAACCCTAATTGAAGGATTCCACTCCTGATTTTATGCCAGAAGGAACTCCAATGATCAATTTGCTCGAAGTGCTGAACCTATGTTCCTTCCCTGAGAAACCCAGTGATACACTCGAACTGTGATCATTAACTCCTGACAACTACAACTATCTTCCTGTGTGGTGACTTTGACTATAGTACAAAGGGGCTTTTTCCATTAGAGTCATAGAGTTGTACAATACTGAAACACACCCTTTGGTCCAACTTGCCCATGCCGACCAGATATCCTAAATTAACCTAGTTCCATTTGCCAGCATTTGGCCCATATCCCTCTAAATCCTTCCTATACATATAACCATCCAAATGTCTTTTAAATATTGTAATTTTACCAGTCTCCACAATTTCCTCTTACACGCACCACCCTCTGTGTGAAAAAATTGCCCCTTTAATGTCAGTTCAGATGCTATTCCTCTAGATGATGTTTCTACTAAGAGGAGAGACTAGGACTCAAGAGCTCAGTCTCAGAGTGAAGGGACAATCCTTTAGAACTGAGATGAGGAGGAATTTCTTCCGCCAGAGGTTAGTGAACTTATGGAATGCATTGCCGCAAAAGGCTGTTGAGGCCAAGCCATTGAGTTTATTTAAGACAGAAATAGATAGGTTCTTCATCGGTAAGGGGATCAAGGATTATGGGGAGAAGGCAGGAGAATGGGGTTGAGAAACATATCAGCCATGATTGAATAGTGAAGCCGTTCAATGGGCCGAATTACCTAATTCTGATCCTATATCCTATGGTTTTTATGGTCATTCCCAATCTAAAGTTGTATTAATGTGGCTATGCCCATCAATTTTCTTCCATTTAACTCTTGTGAGAACAGATGAAGGCTGAAATGAGATCTGCAGCTGAATGGCTCTGACAGTATTGGAACTGGGAGTCTTTTGGTGAGTAGATGCTACTTGACTACTTGATTGTGAATTTCTCCTTCATTCTTCTACGGTTGGAAGGAAGCTTATAAGATGGTAATGATTGTTTTCGAGTTGCCCCATTTTTGTGGTAGGACAAATTTTCACATTGGCAGGTAGATATCAGCACATAATTTGGACTGGGAAGGGGGTCACCTCTGATGCATTGGTTTTATGTTCTTTAGCTGCATTTTGTTAAGTCGCTTGTTAACATTTCTGCCTCACAATACGAGGGACTCGGATTTGATTCCAGCCTTGGGTGACACTCTGTGTGGAGTTTGCACATTCTCCCCGTGTCTGCGTGGGTTTCCTCCGGGTGCTCTGGTTTCCTCCCACAGTCCGAAGATGTGCCAGCTAGGTGGATTGGCCATGCTAAATTGTCTCATAGTGTCCAGGGATGTCAGGCTAAGTGATTAACAGGGATAGGGTGGAGTGTTCTTCGGAGGGTCAATACAGATATGATGGGCCAAATGGCCTCCTTCCACACTGTAGAGATTCTATGATTCTATCTCTTGTAGTCATATGCTGGGTTTCTAGAAAATGAAGCTGTTCATGAAGCTTCTTTCTTTCTCCTTCCTCTTGGTTGATAAACACTATTCTTAACTTTATTTGGTAGGGTTAGAGATCTTTTTCTTGTTCTCATAGTTTAATTGCGCATAGATCAGTCTATAACCTTCTGTTCTTGATATAATGTATCCAGGCAACTTCATACTCTAACTTCATCTTCATCTTCGGTGCCCTCTGGGAACCAACCCTCTTTCAGATGAAATAGCGATGACTTTCAATAAGTTTTGCATTGCTAGGAGGGAGAGATCCCAACCGGAGTGCGACACAGCCCAAGTGAGGGTATAGTTCAGGAAATCTGGAGTCAACATTACGCACCATGTCCCATTACACATTACCTATTGTTAGCCACTAACAGTCTCCATTAACGACTATTCACCCTCCTGGCCAGATCGTTATCCACTCCTTTCTCTGTGCAACTGTTCTTCTCTTTTTTTGGGCTCTATCCTTACCTATTGTTTACTCCTTGCCCCCTCACCACACCCTATCGTCTGCATGCAACTGACATTTTCCTAGCTACCGTCAATTCTGAGGAAAAGTCACTGGACCCGAAACGTTAACTTTGATATCTCTTCACGAATGCTGCTGGAACAGCTGAGCTTTTCCAGCAACTTCTGTTTTTGTTTGAGATTTACTTCAACATTGTTTCAGGAAGTAGTTGCACCCCTTAGATTAATTACCTTAAATTGGGTCAGTGGTCAGGGACATGAGGGTGTGACTATGAGTGAGCAGGTAGAGGTATCTGGGAGATGCTGAAGGAGCCTCAGCCCTTGAGTTTGTCTAAAAGGTTTAAGATTCTTGCTGCCTGTGTGGATGAGAGTGTGGGCTGTAGGGAGGATGGTACGGGGGTGGGGGGTGCAGAAAAGAGCAATGTAGTTGTAATTGGGTAATAGTATAGTCAGGGGAATAGACAGTCTTCTCTGTGGCCAGGATCGAGAGTCCCGAAGGCTGTGTTGCCTGCCTGATGTCTGGGTTCGGGATATCTCATCTGGGTCACTGAGGAACTTGGAGTGGGAGGCGAAAGGTTCAGTTGTCGTGGTCCACATATGTATAGGTAGGAAGTGATATAGGTAGCAAGAAGAAAGAAGTTCTGCAGAGGGAATAAGAGCAGATCGGGGCTAAATTAGAAAGCAGAACCAAAAAGGTAATAATCTCTGGACTACTACTTCAGCCATGAGCAAATTGGTACAGGGTCAATAAGATTAAAGAGGTGAACGCGAGGGTCAAAGATTGGTGTGGGAGGAACGGGTTTGAATTCATGGGACATTGGGACCAGTACTGGGGAAGGAGGGAGCTGTTCCAATGGGACAGGAACAAAAACAGAAGTTGCTGGAAAAGCTCAGCAGGTCTGGCAGCATCTGTGAAGGAAAAAACAGAGTTAACGTTTCCAGTCCAGTGACCCTTCCTTATCCCTTCCAATGGGACCAGAGTCCTGGCAAATCATATCTAGGGCTATGGGCAAGGCTTTAAACTAAATAGGTAAATAGTGGGGGAGGCCATTCAGAAGCATGGAAAATTATGGAAAATGTTAAAGAGGGGAGGGCTGAGCAGAGGTTATTAAAATTCCCGGAACAAGTAAGAGGATAGAGCATGGAAAGGGTCAGGAATCTAACTCCTGGCACAGCAGATGACAGAACAACTATACAATCAATGCAGGGCCGTGTTGTACTTAAATACACACAGTATGCAAAACAAGGTAAATGAGCTTGTGGCATAGATTGAAATTGGCAGGTACGATGTTGTGGATATCACAGAGACATGGCTGCAAGAGGATCAAGGCTGGGAACTAAAAATCCAAGGATATACATCGTTTTGTAAGGGCAGGCAGAGGGGGCGGCGTTGCCTTGTTCGTAAGAAATGAAATTAAATTAATACCAAGAAGTGATATAGAGTCAGAAAGGATAGAATCCATGTGGTAGAGTTGAGGAACTGCAAAGGATAAAGGACCCTGAAGGGAGTCGTGTCCAGGCGACCCAGCAGTAGTCAGGATGTGGGGAAGAAAATAAATCAGGAGATAGGAAAGGTATGAAAGAAAGTCACTATTACAATAATCATGGCGGACTTCAACATACAGGTGGACAGAGAAAATCAGGATGTCATGAAAAAGAATTTATGCAATGTAGGTAAGACTTTTTTGGAGCAGCTTATCGCAGAGCCTGCTAGGGAACAGGCATTTCTGGATTTGGTGATGTGCAATGAGGCAGACTTGATTAGGGAGCTTAAGGTGAAGGAACCCCTAGGGAGCAGTGAATTCAATGTTATAGAATTTACCCTGCAGTTTGAGAGGGAGAAGCTGGAATCAGATATAATGGTATTACAATTGAGTAAAGGTAACTACAAAGACATGAGGGAGGAGCTGGCTAGAGGTGATTGGAAGGAGACCCTAGCAGAAAAGACAGTGGAGCAGCAATGACAGGAGTTTCTGCGGGTAATTGGGAAGGCACAGCAGAAATTCATCCCAATGAAGAAAAAAATACTAAGGGGAGGATGAGGCAACCATGGCTGATAAGAGAAGTCAGGAACAGTATATAAGGAAAAGCATTCAATGTGGTGAACATTAGAGGATTGGGAAGAGTTTATTAACCAGGGAAGAGTTTATTAACCAGCAGAGGATAACTAAAAGTAGCAAGGGGGGAGAAGATGAAATATGAGAGTAAGCTAGCTAGTCATATAAAAGAAGATTGCAAGAACTTTTCAGATATATAAAAGGTAAGAGAGAGGCAAGAATAGACATTGGATCACTGGAATAGGAGGCTGGAAAAATAATAAAGGGGATCAAAGAAATGGCAGAGGGGGAACAAAGAAATGGCAGAGGAATTGAATATCTACTTGCTTCAGTTTTCACAGTGAAAGACACCTGCAGCATACAAGAACTTCAAGGGAGTCAGGGGACAGTGGTGAATGTAGTGGCCATCACTAAGGAGAAGGCTCTGGGGAAGCTGAAACATCTGAAGGTGGATAAATAATCTGGACCAGATGGACTACACCTCAGGGTCTGAAGGAGATGGCTGGGGAAATTGTAGATTTTTCAGGAACCATTGGAGTTAGGGAGAGTCCCGGAGGACTGGAAATGGATAAAGTAACACCCCTGCTTAGGAAGGGAGGGAAGCAGAAGACAGAAATTATAGGCCAGTTAGCCTGACCTCAGTCGTGGTAAGAGTTTAGAATCCATTATTAAGGATGAGATTGTGGAGTACTTGGAAGTGCATGTTAAAATAAAGCTGAGTCAGCACAGCTTCATCAAGGGGAGGTCATGCCTGACAAATCTGTTTGAATTCTTTGAGGAGATAACGAGCAAGTTAGACAAAGGAGAGCCAGTGGATGTGATCGATTTGGATTTCCAGAAGGTCTTTGACAAGGCTCCACATAGGAGGCTGCTAAGTAAGAGCCCATGGTGTTAAGGGCAAGGTTTGTGTGTGGAAAGAGGATTGGTTGACTGGCAGAGAGCAGGGATGAAGGGGCCTTTTTCAGGATGGCAGCCAGTGACGAATGGAGTTCTACAGGGGTTAGTATTGGGACCATGACTATTCACATTATAGATTACTAATCTGGATGAAGGAACTGAGGGCATTGTTGCTAAATTTGCAGATGACACAAGGATAGGTAGAGGGACAGGTCATGTTGGGGAAGTAGGGAGGCCGCAGAAGGACTTGGACAAGCTAGGAGAGTGGGCAAAGAAGTGGCAGATGGAATCCAATGCAGGAAAGTATGAGGTTTTGGTTAGAGGTATAGAGGCATAGACTATTTTATAAATAGGGAAAGGCTTTGGAAATTTGGAGCTTAAAGGAACTTGGGAGTTCTAGTTCAGGATTCTCTTAAGATTAACATGCATGTTCAGTTGGTGGTTAGGAAATTAACTGCAATGTTAGCATTAATTTCAAGTCGGCTAGAATACAATGGCAGGTATGTACTGCTGAGGCTGTATAAGGCTCTGGTCAGAATGTATTAGGAATATTGGGAGCAATTTAGGGCCCTGTATCTAAGGATGGATGTGCTAACATTGGAGGGGGTCCAATGGAGGTTTACAAGAATGATCCCGAGGATAATGGGCTTATCGTATGGGGAGTGGTTGAGGAGTCTGGGTCAGTACTCAATGGAGTTTCGAAGGATGAGGGTGAATCTGATTGAAACTTACAGAATACTGACAAGCCTGGAGAGATTGGACAAGGAGAAGATGTTTCTACTCGCAGGAGAGACTAGAACCTGACGGCACAGCCTCGGAGTGAAGGAATGCTTCTTTAGAACTGAGATAAGGAGGAATTTCTTCACCCAGAGGATGGTGAATCTGTGGAACTCAGATCTGCGCCAAGTCATTGAGTGTCTTTAAGACCAAGATTGATAGGTTCTTGATTAATAAGGGGATCAAAGGTTACGGGGAGAAGGCAGGAGAATGGAGTTGAGAAACATATCAGCTGTGATCAAATGACAGAGCAGATTCAATAGGCCAAATGGCCTAATTCTGGTCTTGTGGTCAATGGTCTACTTCATTATTTTTTTCAAAAATAATCATAATTAAGTCATTGCATGATCATTGAAGTTTTTTTTAAAAGAAAAGGCGTTATCCATGATGAAATAAACGTATAGAGTCTCATCCTGCATTCTTTATAATACAACGACCAACGCCTTGTTGCTATGGAGCCCACAGTCTACAGAAGTGTTTTCAAAGCAATGAGACGGACCACATAGAGATCTGAAGTTGAGTACTGTAGTGGGAGGAAGTCAATAAGAATCCCTGCTCAGAAGACATTAATGTAAAGGAAGATAGTCTTGAAACTTTGATCAGTTGCATGACTGTAGATAAAGAATTAATCTGGTTCCATCTGCTGATCCAGAGTGATTCACCGATCCTGGTGAGATTATCAATAACAGACTGACAGATGCACAGAAATTTCAGTCATACCTTTTGTGCGGTGTTCACTTTAAACCTATAAGTTCATGAGCTCTGACAATGATATGCAATCAGGTTAATTTAGGGTTTTTTTTTGGTTTTGAAGATTGCATTCAGTGAGAAACATCCTTTTTGAATGGCAATGATGCTGACTGCACAGAACATAGGATTGTTGTCCTTCACAATTATTGGACACCAGATTATTGGACAATCAGTCAAATTTTCTTCAGTTGCAGGGCCATCATTATCAGCCGTCAAAATGTGAGGAGGATTTCATCACAGGTCTGATCTGCAGCTCTGACACACTAGAGGCGAGAGCTAGCTGCTCTAATACAATGTGCAGACCAATCTCATTGTTAGAATTATATGATATTCACAGGATGTATATTTTGCACAGAGTCTGTGAAGTTCTGTGAAGCCTGAATACTGATGAACTTCACAGAAACCTCCTAAACTCTGTACAATACACTTGCATGAAATGTATTACCTCTGACTTTGTGGTATTTCAGGGATTCTGCCCATAAATCTCTCCGTCTCCGTGAATAACAAAGTCCTCCTGATAGCTGATCACTTTAAAATTGCTTTGTATTAAAACATCTTGGGCCATTTTTAGCAAGACTTCTGTCAAATTTTGTGAAGTTTATAGGAAACATCTATTCTACCACTGCAAGAACTTACAGGTTTAAAGATGCTACAACATAAAATCAAGATTGAATTAGTCAAATAAGTGACACGTAGCATGCATAGCTAATTTTAACAAAGAGCATGGAGACAAATAAAGGGCACTGTTCATTTGCAGTTAGCTAGATTCCATTAGACTTTGCTGATGATTTACCTTAGGTCCTGGAAGTCCGTGTGGCCCCTGTAAGAACATAACGTCACAGTTACTTGAAAGTAAGTAATTCTATATGAAAATAAGTAATTTTCACACTGTAATTCTCCATTGCTAAAGCAATCAAGAGCAGGAAACTGTGTCCCCTCAGGGTTTACTACTGTTGGCAGTGTTAACCCTTCAGCTTCTACTCTGATCCTATGATCTTTCCCCCTTTTCTTCTTATGTTCTTTCATTTCAAATACTTATCCAATTCTCTTTTGAATATTGCTGTCTCTTGATTCAGTGGTCATTTTGAGTTTGAATTTGATTTATTGTTGTCATATGTACCAAAATACAGTGAAAAGTTATGTGCTATACAGTCAGATCATACCATACAAAGTGCATCAGGGTAGCAGAACAGAGTGCAGAATACAATGCATTCCATGTTTGCATAACTCTGTGTGAATCAGTTCTTCTCACTCCCTATTCATTCCTTAATTCATAATCCTCAAGTCTGTACGCCCTTGTTACCATCTTGTCAACCAATGGCATAGGACTTTCAGCAATTATCATCTCAAAACCTTTCAAATATTGATGACTGTGCTGGATCTCTCTCTAACTTTCTCACAAGTACAACTGATGATCCTGGCACTCCAAGAAAATCTTCATTGTCGTCTTGAATTGCTGATACACTGATGAATTTGAACAGTTACTGGAATGTTAAACTATCTTTCATTTTCTGAAACCCATCTCAGTTCTAATCTAAATCTCACAGATATGCTTCCTGTAAATTAAATGACTTGAGAATTAAATTCGCTTACAGTTAGCATTTTCAATCTATCACACCAAACCTCCTATTCTTTCCTTCCCTGGTTAGATTTGCCACAAATTCCAAAACGTGACATACCATCCATAAATGAAATGTCGCATCCCATTTATCTTTCTAATGGACTTTTCTGCCATTTATCCATTCTCGCATGACTCATTCCATTCAGAGTATACTTCCTTTTGATATGTGTATTTAGGAACAAGGAACAAGAGTAGACCACTCGGCCCTTTGAGCCTGCTCCGTCATTCTACAAAGACATGCCTGACCTGATTTTACTTCAAATCTACAATCCTGTATATCCCCGTAATCTTTCATCTCCTTAGTAATCAAGAATCTATCTACCTCTGCCTTAAAAAAAATCAAAGATTCTGCATCCACTACCTTTTGAGGAAAGGAATTCCAAAGTCTCTCAACCGTCTGAGGAAAGAAAATGCTTCCTCATCATTTTTAATTATGATTTCTAGTTCTGTATCCTCCCACAAGAGGAAACATCCTTTCAACATCCACCTGGTCCAGTCCCCTCAGTATTTTATATGTTTCAATTAAGTGACCTCTGACTCTTCTAAACTCCAGAGGATACACGTTTTGCCTGTCTAGCCTTTCCTCATAAGACAATCCATTCATTCCAGGTATTAGTCAAGTAAATCTTCTCTGAACTGCTTCCAACGCATTAACATCCTTCCGTAAGAGCTGTAATGTATATCACTTCATACACTTCTGTTAATCTGGTCATATCGGCACTCTGCACACTGTTTTATTCTGATACCTCTTCCTTGTTATTCTTTCCAGTTTACCATGGCCTCTAATGCTGTTTCATAATAATTCTCAACACTCTTCCTCTTGTGCTTACGTCCAAATCACTTACATGAGATTCAACCATGACCCATATACCACCATTATACCTTATGTCAAAGTGCAGTCTTATTTCATGCTGCGTTTTAACCTTCCTAATCTAGATTTTCCCTGCATTTCATACTTTATACAACTTCTGCATGTGAAGGTGAGGAGAGGTAATGTTTTCACTCTGTTTGTTAATCCCTTTGTAAATGATGTTTCAGAAAATAATTGCTAGATTTCACCGAAAGGAAGAACTGATTAGTGTTTTGAAGATGTTGAACCTGGATTTTTTTTTAAAGGATTCATTAGCATTGGATGACAGGATAAATTGATATAAAAAAAAATGTGGTACATTGTTTTATTTAGAACATGGTGGATTGTCTTAGCTGCTATGGTGGAGCCTGACACTGCTATTAAATTGTGAGCAGAGTTTTTGGAGCAAGTTGTTGATGTGGATTGAACTGAAGTTGCTTCAGTGAGATGGAAGGTCTTAATAAAAAAGATTTATCTCATTTCAGTTCTGTAGTTAAAGAGCATCAACCAGGCAGCGAAAAACCCCTAAGAAAGAGCTGTGTAAATGTAATTACTTTGCATTAACAAAGTTTAGCAGAGGCAAATGTTAAACAGGGTGCCCTCCCTTCACTTATACTTTCAGTTTCTTCAGTACTATCTGCATAATGTTTGCTGTAAACCTTTTTCTAAGTCTTGATTTTTGCCCTTTCCTCAAATTAACAATGGAAGCTCATCTTTGATTCATCACTTTACTCCTTTACAATGTTCTCCTTCCTTCCTGTGTTTTTTCCCTTCTATAAGTCCCTTCACAGACACCTGTCCCTTGAACAGGGTACTGTTGAACAGCCATCTCCTCTCATCTCTTTTTTGCTTGAGTCCCTGTTGGAGGTGGAGATTCCACTTGAAATCCACCTTGCATCATTAATCAGGCTTAAACTGAATTGTGTCTGGGATGGATTGGGATGGCTGGATCGAAATCTTGTCCTGATAACATTCCAGACTAAAGAGGAGGATCACTCTCTTAAGGTCTCAAAACCAGAGGTTCCTAACTTACTTCAATCTCTGCATCATCATTCAATATTGCTTTTTTTAAAAAAACACCCAGTCTGGTCATCACCTTGCCCTAACTTCCTAAGCTGCTTGGCTTTCTATAGTTCTCTTTAGCTTTAGTGGCCTCCTGTATAATGGCCCTCCAACTTATTCACAGTTAAAATAAATACTGTTTGGATTTTGAGCAGAGAGTCAGTTCTCAAACTCAGTAGAGCAAGCTCCTGTTTTTGTAGTAACTTATGAATTCTGTCCACTATGTCATTAGTGATTTTTTTTCCTAGAATTGTTACAACATCCGTTTCTATGTAGAGGTGTTATTTTCATAAATGTGGAATCGTGAGTAAATACATCCATACTATCTCGACAAGTGGTAATTTCATAAATTTGCCCTGCTAGTATTGTTAGGTAAAATTCTCAACCTCTTTCTCTTGCTCAAACCTTTGTAATAAACTGAATGATAGCAGCTCCTTCCGTCCTTTAGGAAAGCAAGGTGCTATCATATTTCTCATTTTGAATCTTTATCCAAACTCTGAAACAGGCCAGGATTGACTCTCAATTACATCACTCATCGAGCTAATAAAGTGAGTCCCCTGGTACCATCTTTTTATTGAATGGATGTAAAATAACTTGGGCATTTTGCACTGAATTTAAAATGCTCTGGATTTGGAGGACATTTGGGGGAAAAAAACTCTCCCAACCCTCCAAAATGAACTCAGAAATAACTTAATAGAAAGCAAAAGAACTGCGGGTGTTGTAAACAAGGAACAAAAACAGAGGTTGCTAGAAAAGCTCAGCAGATCTGGCAGCATCTGTGAAGAAAAATTCAAAATTAATGTTTTGGGTCCAGTGACTCTTCCTCAGGACCTGAAATGTTAAATCTGATTTTTAACTTCTGTTTTTGTTTCAGAAATAACTTATTTCCAGCCCAAGCAACTCAGTGTAAGTCTTTATTCTTGCAGGATTTAGCTACCTTTGTGACCACACACTCAGGACAGCAAGATTCTATTTAGTCAAGAAGGGAACATTGACATCTGTGAGAAAAATAAGCCCAACGATGCACAGCGTTTGAGAACATTCTCATGCCCTTCAGTAAATAGGAATGCAACAGCCTCAAAACAATAACTATGGCTTACCATTGGACCCGGTGGGCCTTGTGAGCCAGTGGGTCCTGGGGGTCCTACAATCTGTATAAACAAACAACAGTTCTGTAAGGCAGGAATCAGCATTTGTTATATTAGGAATAAAATCTAAAAACAAACTGCATATTTTGTGTGTATTTACCCAATCACATCCAACAATAATGACAAAAAAAAAGTTAAATGGAGATCTTAATATGATAAAAGTTCCCAAAATGCATTCCAGACTGGGGAGTGGATGGGAGGGAAAGGACAGGATAGAATTGAATAAAGTGGCACAACAAATACTTGGTTGAAGTGTAAACTAGGGTTTTTGAAGGAGAATGAAGGGGACAAAGTAGCAGCTCAGAGGGCAGGGAATAAAGAGCTGCCTAAGGTGGAACAAAGGGACTGAAACAGTAAGTGAAGCGAAGAGTGTAAGCAAGGATTCAGCCTGAAGGCAGGTGCTGAGGTAGGATAGGATGAATGGAGCCTTTGGAGACATTTAAAGGTGAGGAGAAAGATCTTGGAAGTATTCCTAAAGCCTCTGAGTCAGTCTGTGGGATTGTGAAGATGAAGGTGATCGATTTGTCAGCTTTTCATTGTTCAAGGTAAAAGGCTGCAGCATTCTGGACAAACTTTGGAAAGTGGAAGCAACAAGACTGGTTAGAAAAGCATTGGAGCAGACAAACCTCCAGTTAATAAAGTACACTGCAGGTAGTGTGTTCAGGAAAGTGATATTATAAAGTTGTAGCAGATACAGAAAATCAGTGGAACAAGGCAGGGAGTATGCCATTGTGCACATACAAGAATTTAAATTTGAACGTAGCAGACAACAGTGGTAAAAGACAGCAAAGAAAAATGGACAAAAACATTATCAAGGAAGGTAAGTATGAGGTTAGGAACATTTATCAGGAATATTCTCCTGATTAGACTGCTGTAACCATTTAAAAATCTGTTTCAGTCAATCATCACTGAAACAATGATACATTGATAAAATAAATATGCTGTTAATTAATGTAGTATCCAAAACAGACTGGATGCACAAAACTGAAAACTAATGGTCTTCTTTATAAAGGATCACTTTCAAATTAACTTAAGCATGAAATTTAATCTAAACTTTACTTCATACCAGCCTTAATTTGGTGGGAAGGTTCCCATACTTTTATTTTAGAGGTTGGATTTAGGTTGATACAGTTCTGCCAAAGTCAATGAGGTGCTGGATCCTGAGGATTAGCTGCTGATTGATTCAAGCTAAGCGTTTTGAGCTCTGCTGTGGTACATTCTTCAACCAAATAAAAAGCTTTAATCTATTTCTTTATCTTTGTTTTTCTAACAATGGGTTTGGTGTGTGATTTGTTTCTTTTAAAAATATTGAGAAAATTACAATTTTTAAAATATCTGTTTGAGACATTCTCTTGAGTTTGGCACCTTCGTGCACTTGTTGAGGAGACTTTGCACCCCTATTATCTGGGGTGTGCTTTCACCACCTATGATCTGACTACATAATACCATGGCTAAAGGAAATAAAGAAGGTGAATGGTTGACCAACCGAGAGAGATGAAGCCAACTGCAAACCAATGGGATGGCTCTGATGAATGGTCAACATATATCTTTCAGGGAAATTTCGACAATTATATATCGCTCCTTGGAAAGTAAAAAGACTTGCCAAAATTCATCCCTGTTTGTGGATTAAAAGCCTACAGTCCCCCCGATGTTAGCTGGCAATAACCTCTCTTATGATAGGCAACATGTGGTCATTTCTGAAACTTGAAATGCTGTCTGACCGGACAGAATGGGAAGTCTGTCTGTCTCATGTGCTGTACTAGTTCAGCTGAGCTCATTTTGTGTTTTGTTCATTTGTTGTCACCAAAGTCTTAGTGGAACCATTGGTACCATCTTCCTACTTCTCTGGTTTTCTTCAAGTCTTTTCCAGTCCATTTCTCAATGTTATTGACCCATCTGATCATTCTTCTTCCTCTGCTGTATTTATACTCAATTTTTCCTTCACCTTTTACCAGGACAAGGCTATCAGTTCTTCATTTCCAATGTCTGTATTTGGTGATCTTTCTCCCTTTAACTGTACTTAGCAATCCTTTAGATTTATAAACTTCCATTGTTAATCTAACCTACTCAGTTGCTTGTTTCACTGACCTCTTCTTGTGCTCCAGGAATGGAAACCATTCTAATACAATTTATTAGACAATTTCTAGAAAGTAGAAGCAATCCATATTTTCAAAATCTAATTTGGGATACAGCAACCCCATTCTTTTAATGACTTTGCTATTATTCCAAAAATAAACTCAAATCAACATCTACAATTGTTTGAGTTACGAGAAGTTTTTGGACTGAATAGACTGAATAGAATAGAACAGAATAGACTAGACCCCTTTTGGACTGAATAGAGTCTTATCATATGTTATATGTTTCCAAGGAGCAATATAATGGTATATTATAAATCAATCCATTAGCATTTCCAGGTCAGATAAGCAGCAGCCTTTAATGCAATAGATGAATATTTAACAACGATAAACATATTTGTGCTCTTTTATGAAATTTCGTCCTAGGTTTCCAAAATCAATTCACATCAGCCAGGCCAAAAGTCCAAGCCAACAAAGGAAGGCAGTGTCAAGCTTGTGGGTTTGAAACAATAAGGGAGAGCAGCTGTAGCAAGCTCATATGGTTGGGGCTGCAACAGAAGGGAAAGAAACAAGTCCAGGGAGCTAATGAAAGTTGCAGCAGCAAAGCCAGAAGACCTGAGCAAGGAAACTGATATTATCAAAGAGACTAAAAAAGATTAACTTTTATTGAGGTTTTCATACACTTTGCTGTTTTAGGTGGTTTTCCTGCTCTTTGTGGATTGAATGGAGGATTTGTATGCTTTTGTAGCTACAATGGACAATTCCCATAAGAATTTCCATGTTAAACAAAAATTGCTCACTCCTTTAGATTACCCAATGCTCATCTGCTTTAAATGACTAGCTGCGGTAACTTCATCCACTGTGCTGCAATTTAGTTCGTAAAATTCTCACTCTTTCAGCCTGATATAGTGCCATTTAAAGTTTTCTTTTGTGCCACAAATATCTGTTTGCTCACTGGTTGAACTCAGACATGGGACCACTCCCAGAGACCATCAGACCTTTACCTCTGCCTTGGAGCTACAGATTTCTTCTGTCTCTGAATTTTTTTCTTCTACTCTTTGAAGGATTCTTCAGTGGTTTTTCTTTGAGATTCTCTGCCTTCGGCAATCAGCAGTCTCTGTTTTGTTTGCGGTCTTCTGGGTTTCCAGCATATTTGTCCTGTTGGGACTGATGCTGCTAAAGTAAATCTTCACATCTCACATTGATCACCATACTGCCATCTGCATCTTCTACTTCTGTGGATTCTTTAGGGGCATACATTGTTAAGTGTGTGTACATCTTTTAGTTTAATGAGAAGTGTTTTGTGGTGTAGACAAGAAATCCTTTATTGCTTGTCTGGAGCGAGTTACAGGTTATAAGAGTAGGCTATACATTTGTGCAAAGACTGTTGGGAGGATCTAGCCTTATGTCTGTTTTCCACTAGATTCGACTTTCGGAAACCATTCAAAACCCTCCTCGCCTTTCCTCTTTATCCACACAAGGCACTACAAATCTCTCACACCTCTCCACTTTCTCCAATAAAAGCAAAATTTTGTGGACGCAGCAGATCTGAATCAAAAAGTGAAAGTGGAAGAAGAGTCATTTTAGACTCAAAGTTAACTCTGTTTTTCTCTCTCTAAAGTCGCTGTCAGACCTGCTGAGTATTGTCAGCACTTTCTGTCTTCTTAGTCTTTCTCAGTGTTCTTGAAGAAGAGAACACAGAACTTGGCGAGAGGGAGGAATCCAGCTGAAGGTAGAGGGAAGGTTATAGAGGCTGACACCCTGTCCTGAAGAAGGGTAATACCTGAAATATTGACTTCTCCTTTCCTCCAGATGCTGTCGGGCTCGCTGTGTTCTTCCAGCTTCCTGTTTATCTATCTTGTCGTGTATACCCACTTGCTCCAATGCAAGGGAGGTCTTGTTCCAGCAGATGGCAGCAATGACCTGCTGTGACAGCCTGAGTCACTTCAGGCCCTGGTGCTTAAGACATATCATTCAGAGGCAATCCCATGTTTGTAGATCCTGTGTTTGAAATGTCATCACCTCCCAGCTGGATTTGGTGTCCATCCGCTCCCTCCTGTGTAGGAGGGCTGGCAGTAGGAAGGTGCTGGTAGTGCCTTCCAGCAGTTGACAATCAGCTCTGTCAAGCAGTCAAAGTAATCTTTGCAAGCAGAAGTACTTTGAACAGCAGTGTCTCAACGGCTATGGCTGGGGAACTTCAGTTTCAACGCCATTCGAACTGATTATTGAAGAAACTCTTCCTGCTATGAACCTATCTCGGTCATCCAGAATTGTTGCAGGTCTGTAAATAGCTTCCATAGCTGGAAAATCCAGGATTCAGGGCCAAAGGAACTTATAATTGACTCCCTCTGTATTGGGGAATTATTAGATGTGCATTGCTACCTAAACAACTTGCGATGAAGAATATCCATAGAATGCTACGTTCTCTAACATTAAGGCAGTAAAACAACATTTTCAACAATATGCACGAAAGGTTTTTCCTATTTTGCAATATGAAATAATCGTGAGGATGCCTCGTTTTGCAGAACTTACTGAAGCGCCTTTTGGACCAGATGGCCCATGGTCTCCTTTCTCTCCTTTCTCTCCCTTTTCTCCATTAACACCCTATCCAAACAAAAGTCAGGAGTTACAACCAAATTATGAATTAACACTTGATGAATTGAACTCTCTAAGTTAATCTCTTTTCAATCTGAAGAAAATTAGCTTTAAGTAATGATGGAAAATGTTGTATGGTATATGGAATCCTTAACATTTACCTAAAATTCTCAAACAAGCAAATAAGACCAATGTTTAATGTTTCATTCAATAATAGGACAGTGTCTGCAACTATTCAACTTTCTCTCAGTAATGAAATGTTAGCCTAGATTAAGTTCCAGACTGACACTTAGCTGAGAAGCCTTCTACCTGGGAGGCAAGATGCTACCAACTGAGCACAGCCGAACTATTGCATTTTAATTGTCTTTAATTTTCTAATCTAATGAGATACTGACTTTTATCACAGGTTGTTTAGAATATAAAAGCAGGGTAGTATGATTCCAGTTATATGGAATCTCTCATCAGTCTTGGTCACTACACTTCAGTAAAAATATACTGACTTTGTGGTGGCGAGTGGGGATTCACTCGGAAAATATGGGGAGGAAGGGTTATAGGAATGAGGTGAAACTGTAAATTTAGGCTTTGTTCCCTAGAAATTAGAAAATTAAGGATTGGTCAGACTTAGAAGGGATTTGATGACATAAATAGGAAATATCTCTTCCCGAACTCGAAACAGCAGAACATAGGGCACTGTATTTGAACTAAAATTAGAACCAAACTGGTTAAACTTGAGACTATAGAACTGTTCTTCATAAAAAATACAAAATACTCTGCTCATAAGGTCATAATAAAAAGCCAGCAAAGGCATTCAGAGGACAGGTTGACACTTCCGGAAGAAGTAAATGTATTTATGAATATGGAAAGGATTGAAGCATGTGGGCGTACTAGATAATTTCCTGCCTAACAAAATGTTGGAACAGACCTGAAGGACTTAATAAAGTCTTATTGTTATGTTTTGCCATGCTGATCATGTTAGTCTTCTTACCATAAATGCATTGATCAGTGAAGAACTTTGTATTGCATGAATTTTGCTAAATAACTGGCAATTCTGGTTTTAATTGTCTTTATTTGGCTAGTGAGCTTGAAGTGGCACCTGAATCTGATCCTTTCCTTAGCTGATGGGCACATTTCTACATTTTCCAGCTGTAGTGAAGACAGGGCTTATTTGTCAGGTAAGATAAAGGGTACTGAGGCCAACTGTAGCAATCCTACTGTTGGTTCACTGAGATCAACAAATTCAACACAAACCTGTGCTATGCATCATCTCTCTATGGCTCGAGTTTCATACAGTGTATGTAGCAAATGAATTATCAGGGAGATTATATGCTTCTATCTCAGTACAGAATATTTAAATCTGTTTGACAAAGTCCTCACAATAACTCTCACATTATTAAAAACACTCACAGGTAATCCAGGTAAACCAATGCTTCCTTTATCTCCTGCAACACCAGTGTCACCTTTTGAACCTTTAGGACCCTGAAAATAAACACGAGAATTTAATACGACAGGAAAAGATGCACCCGATTAAGTTTTTTCAAATACAAATGTTGGAAACAAATTAAAATCAGTAAGCATAAGATGATTTCAGTACCTGTCTTCCCTCAGCTCCAGGAAGCCCAGGATTACCCATGTCTCCCTGTTGTTTAGTACATGCAAAAAGAATTTCAAGTGAATGATTGATATACATTTATATTTTTAATCAAATTCCTATTAAAAAGCTAAATGCACATATTTCTGTTTCTCTCTCCCTGCTACTAAATACAGCAAACATTTTATTAACTGTCATTTAGGGGACCAGGAGTGTATCGGTTGATTAAGAGATCCACATAATCAATGTAAGAAAGGGGTCCTGCCAGAACGCGACAGTTGCATTCCATCGCAACATTGCGTTATGGAAATTCGCGCAATATAAGTAACGGGGCCTGTGGGCAAAGCGAGGTTAGGGGCAGATCTTCATCCAGTCTTCAGCACTGGCATCGTGCAGTCGCAAGGAATTAATTAATTCAATGGAAGTGAGACAATCAATAAAGCACCAGAGATAGTAGGAACTGCCGATGCTGGAGAATTAGAGATAACGAGGTGTTATAGCAAATACATAACAAATGTGAAGAAGGGTCTAGACCCGAAACGTCAGCTTTCCTGCTCCTCTGATGCTGCTTAGCCTGCTGTGTTCACCCAGCTCTACACCTTGTTATCTTAATAAAGCACCAGAGTTCAGTTTACAGCTAAAAGCATCGCAGTTTGAAGAAGCAGACAGTAATGAGCCCATTTGCAGATTCTTCATCACTGTAGCTGTAGATTTGCCTCTCACGCACCAACAACACATTGTACGTTCGCACCCAAACTTCAATGACACGCATCATCATCCAGTCATGATCACGAATAGCAAGCTCTCAGCCACATTCTGCTCCCGCCAGCACCATTAATCACCTATCAGCAGTAAGCCTGAACTTTCACTGACAGCATCCTTTCGACAGCAAAATAAAACCTATGGTCACCAACAGCATCCGGTTTCCAACAGAAACACAAGGACACCAGCAGTATCCAGCATTGCCTGGAATAATATCACCCAGTGCTCAACACCAACACCATTCAGCAGCATTAAACCCCAGCAACAAAAACCAGTCACTGAGAGTAATTATCCAATCTCCAGCAGCATCATTCATTCATTGGAGGAAATCCCAATCACCAACTTTACAAACACCAGCGATGACAAAGCCCAGTTAGAAACAATATCAAGCCACTTGCTAACAGCATCGCCCAGACGCCAACAACTAAATGCGTTCCTGGGTAAAACCATTTATCTGTCAGAAACATCAACAACACTTAGTCACTGACAATCACATCACTGGCTCACCAGCAGCATCTCCCAGTCACCAGCAAAACTATCCAATGTGCACTTACACCATGTTGTCACTAACAATATGAGCCTGTCACCATCCCTCATCGACTGGACATTGACGATCATTTATTTCATCCAGCTGTTTTCTTGTGATTGTTCTTTGAGAAACCTATTGCTTAATTTCGACTAAGGCTATTATTTTTATCAATCAGGCTGGTATTCCAATCGATCGTGAACTTGAAAGGCCGAAATTTGTTACATAACAGACAAATTATCTAGACTCGTGATCTTAATGTAACTTTTCAAAATAATGTAATACAGTTGTGTTTCCGCTTTATTGTTGCAGTTCCCTCACGCTAAACAGAGATCTTGTTATAGTCAACACAAAGTTCACATTTTACAATCCCGTTCCCCTATTTGTCAATCGCGTTATTGCCAATTTGCGTTGCTGGAACACGCGTTATAGGAGAACCCCCTGTAATACAAACATAATGCAGGAGGTATATCCAACACATTACACTTTATTTACAGTACTTTGTGAACTTAAACAATAAAGCAACTTTTCCTTAAATAAAACTTACTGACAGAGAGCTATCGCACTCGCACCCTCCACTGACTACTCAGTCATGCGGAGGTCGCGATAATACAGTAAACTTCTGGTATTTGAGGTACATTTTTTTTTGCCAGTTTATCGAGAGTGCCGATTAAAACAAAGTTCACTGTGAACCGAATGCTGAATACTCTATTCTGAAATTGGTTGTAAAGACATCATAGCCACACTTTCATCTTCACCTTCAATGCTGCAGTCTCCATCAAAATAATTACTATCCTCGCAGATCCACTGCAACGGCTCTCATCTTCACAGCACTGATTTTAAGGCACACAGACATGATTGAATGTTGCAAACACTATTCCATAATGATTCTGAAGTGCAAAGTCAACCCTTGGCTCCCTCTCTCTACTGCAAACTGCCTTCTTAAATCCTTTCTCATGTCTCTCCACCCTCTCCTCCAATAACAAGTCCATGGGCTCATGGGCTCACTGCTTTATCAGTTTCTTCTGCTACTTCCATCCCTTTCTCCTTAGCCTATTGGGCTGAACTTCCACTCAAGTTTTTCTTTCACCCGAACTTGGCGTCTTTTGCGAGCTTATCTCCTATCTCAACTCATGCCATTTCTGAACTCATCTTGAGATGAGATCCACCTCTTACTTCCTTGATCCTTTTCACATTAAAGTGCTGACCATTTAACTTCCCTCTCTGGCTCCCATGTCAGCTGATAGTATTAACTGTTCTCTCTTTTAAATCTACTGTCATCACCACTCTCCAAAAATAAATGCTTGACCCCTCTGTCAATACGAACGTGCCCCATCTCCGACCTTCCTTCCCTCTCCAAATCCTCGAGCTCTCAAACACTGCGTCATCTTTCCTGGAAGTCCATGTTTGAAGCTGAACCTTAGTGACAGTTATATATAACTTAGTGGGTGGAGCTATACAAACACTTTGTATTAACTCTTTCAGGGCAATTACCTTGTACAGCATCACCCTCAAGCTTTTCTGTGCTTGCTTAACATATTATACAATTGCTCAAACAAGTATATAAAGTACAGCATAAACCCTTCTCTCCCCGCCGCCCCCCCCCGCCCCGAGCCCCCAAGACTGTGACTTTATTACTTCATACGGATCTGAACGAGTAATTGAGGAAAAATGTTCAATTCTGACACATTGAAAGACTGGTGGGTCTTTTATTTCCTTACATCTTTTTGCTGTGTATATGTATGAATGTTGATATTAGACCATCATCATGGCCAGGAGATCTTTGAATTCTTTGAACCATGTGATGAAACAACAAATATTGAGGTGTGAGAAGTAATCGTCTCTTTTTGACCTTGTTGAAAAGTAGATTGAGAAACGAACATCTCCCAGAACATTGTCTTTTGGTTAACAAGGTTTCTTAGTTTTTAAGATGAATTCAGATCCTGAAGATTCTCTTGCAAATACAGCATAAGTGAACAGTTCTGCTAATCTTGTAAAGTCAATAATTGGAATATTCATTGGGAATATTAAAATGTTGTCAAACACCCATGTAGCTCATGTCAATTGTTGTATGTTTCTTTCTGTGTTCCGTTAGCATTCGCGTGATTTTCTTTTGTATAGTTGTTTTGTTGATGACATATTAAGTTGGTCAAAGGTTGATGTTTTGCTAGATGCTTTCTGGTGTTGGCATATTTTTTTGAAAATATTCAATTTTCTTGCGTAAGTGGCATTTATGTGACACAGCTGGACACTGCTTTGTTTGTTTGGCTTTTACTGCTCAGACAATGACTTGGACAGTAACTCCTAACATTAACAGATTTGGACGTTCTTTTTTGATTTGTTGTGTGCTTGTTTGGAGAGTTTCACCTTACAAAGTTGGTAAGTTCTCATGGTCTACTGCAGTAAATTTGTTTCACAGATTTTTCTGCAGCTATGCTGAATCTCAGCCTCTAACACAATCCGAATGATCTTTTCCAATGGAAGATATTCCTTTGATATTAAAAGATCTGAAAGAGATGGTTCAGAAATTTCATGACAATTCCCTCTCTAATTAGCATGAGTTGTAATGGTCCATACTCACAAGAGTCAGACAATGTAGAAGATCATTGATGAAGTTGTCAACAGGTACTGCTAGTAACTGTTTTCTTTTATAGAATCTTGCTCTTTCCAGCATATGATTATTTCTTAAAGTAAAATAGTTGCTAAATACCTTTGAAACATTATTAAAGACATCAGTATTTTTTTAGAATCCCTACAGTGTGGAAACAGGCCCTTTGGCCCAACAAGTCCACACCAGCCCTCAGAGCATCCCACCCAGACCCAGCCCCCTATAACCCAACTGACCTACACATTCCTGAACACTATGGGCAACTTAGCATGGCCAATTGACCTAGCCTGCACATCTCTGGACTGCGGGAGGAAACCAGAGCACTTGGAGGAAACCGACACAGGGAGAACATACAAACTCTACACAGGCAGTCACCCAAGGCTGGAATTGAACCCAGGTCCCTGGCACTGTGATATAGCAGTGCTAACCACTGAGCCACCGCACCACCTATAAATAACATGATCTGCTATTTAGCCCACAGAATAAAGCAGTGTATTAAATTGTTCTGCTTGTGAATTAGTGTGTCAATCTGAAGCTATTCTATATCTCATGAAATGTTTCTTTCACACTGACCGGCTTAATTCTCTATCTGAAGAATCTGTGATCTTAAATAATAACTTTCTTTAATTCTTTGTTCAAATTAAATCGTTCATTCTAAATTTTGGAAAGCATTTAAAATTATTTAAATTCTGCTGTATCTTCAACATTTCTTCTTTATGTTTGAATTATGGTCATTTTGCGTTGGTCTCCACTAAGAAGATGAAAGTAATATCCTAGAACTGGCTGGCAATCAGGAATTGGAAAGTGGGGAGGAACTCAAGAAAATTACAATCACCAGGAAAGTAGTACATATCAAGTTGTGGGAACTTTGGGTTGACAAGTCCCTGTGTTCTGATGGTTCTCATTCTTGGCGCATAATTGGTATTGATAGTGAGACAGTTAATGTGTTAGTTTTAACGTTTCAAAATTCACCAAATTCAGGCAAGGTTCCATTAGATAGTAATGTAATTAATACAGCTGCTTATTCAAAAAAGAGGAGGGACTCAGAAAGCAGAAAATTAAAGGCAAATTAACTTACCATCTGTCACAGGGAAAATGTTAGAAGCTATTACTAAGGATGCCATGATGTGGAGGTGCCAGTGTTGGACTGGG